GAGGGCCGGAGATGGAGCTCTACAAAAACTCTTGCACAGCTAGATTAAGACAGCTACTAGGAACGGTACAAGTGAATCTTTCTAAAAGCAGAGTATGAATGTTTTAATAACTAAGAAAATGACATGAAGGCTACATTAACCAGTTTGATGAGAGTATTTCAAATTGTGTATGAAAACACCACACTGTACCCCATGATTGCATTAATGTACACAGCTATGATTTAATTAAAAAAAAAAAAAGACAACTATCAGGTTGGTGAGCCCATTGACTTTCTGGGAGGGTGGCTCACTCAGAGAGGGTGAGGAAACTCCGTGCCACTCCATGCCCCACCCCACCCCCAGCCCCCATACTTTGCCCTATGCAGTTCTTCCATCTGGCTGTTCCTGAGTTTTATCCCTAATGATAAATGAGTAAACATTCAGTAAATTATTTTCTTGAATTCTGTGTGCCATTCTAGCAAATTATCAAAGATGAAGAGGGAGTCATGGGAACACTTAATTTATAGCTAGTTGGTTAGAAGAATGAGTGGCTTGGATATGCAACTGGCATCTAAAGTGGGGGCAGGCTTGTGAGAGTGAGCCCTTTAATTTGTACGATCTGAAAACTGTGAATTGATCGCTGATGTTGAAACAGAGTGACCGTATTTGGAAATAGGGTCTTGGCAGATGTAACCAAGTGAAAGTTAAACTGGATTAAAGTGAGCCCTAAACTCAGTGTGACTGGTGTCCTTACATAAGAAGTAAATTTAAACACAAAGATATAGACACACAGCATGTGAAGACAGAAGCAGAGATTGCAGTGATATGTCCAAAAGCCAAGGAACACCAAGGTTTATCAGCAACTGCCAGGAGCTAGAAGAGAGGCATGAAAAAAATTGTCCCCAGAGCCTGTGGAAGGAGCACGGGCCTGCTGGCACCTTGGCTTTCAATTTCTAGGCTCCAGCACTATAAAGAGAATAAACTTCTGTCATTTAAAGCCACTTTGTTGTAATTTGTCACAGAGGCTATAGGAAATTAGTACAGTGACTGACTAGAGTTAGAGAAAAGGCAGAGTTCTCAGGATGAATCACAGATCTGAAGCCGAAGTGATTGGAAGAATGATTTCTACAGAGAAAATATCCTGAGGGGGAATTGGTTAAAAGAATGATTTTAATTTTTACGTTAACAGTCTAATACAATCACAGGATAGTCAAATTGATGCTCTAGTGTTACAGCCACTATGACACAAAGGAATAATAGAACAATTAAAAGAATATGGAGGCTTAGTGTGGCTTAGTGGTTAGGGCACTGGCCACATTCACTGGGGCTGGTGGGCCTCCTGGGCCTGCTAAACAATAGTTGTAGTACAACTACTGCAAATAGTTTGACTTTTAGTCAAATCCAACTAACTTTTTTCAGTAATCATATTCAATGACCATTTGCCTTTGACACCTATCTTTTCCTTGGTTCCCATAACAACACAAAATAACTTCTATCACCCTGACCATCCTCTACTGCACCTGGCAATTCTTTTCATGTAAATTTAGTCCTCGTCCCTGTATTCTTCAATTATCTGCACATTCTCAAGTTTCTAACTATACATCTCTAATTGGAATTACTTATCTTCACAGTTTACATTACATTATCTCTAGCTATGAACACGGTATCTTCACACACAAGCCTACAGTGTGTCTACATGGATGCGGTGCCATCACTTCCTATCTGATGTGTTTGATCAAATCTATTTTCTTTCTACTCCTCAACTGACACATGTTCTTCATTCCATTCACTGTAGTAACTCTGTTATATCCTCTCACAGCTAAAATACTTCCTATTTTTCTTCTTTATTTACCACTATAGCTCATACTTTTTTCCATTCAGAACACCTCTGGGAGTTACTCTTCACCTTCATTCCAAGCTCCAATTCCAGACTTCTTACCTCACTTAGAATTTACTGTAATAGTGTCTTAACTGGTTTCCCTTTCTTCAGGATTTTTTCTGTCTGGCACAGTGGTTCTCAAATTTTAGTGTCCATATAGATCACCTGGGAGTGGCTTCTTGCTTGTTACCTTATTTCTCCAACTAGATTACATGGTCATCATGAGCAAGGAGTAATCCTGGCTTCTGTTTTCTCCCAGTGCATAGCACAATCTAGGCCACACAACATATTCAATAAGATAATTTTGCAACTTCAAGACTATGTGATTCATTTCTCTTTTGAAAACATTCACAACAGTATCTGACCAAGAGTTATTTCAGAGAGATAAATCTTAGAATACAAATAACAACTTGTCATTTCAAGTGCCTCAAAAGGACAAATAACTCATTGTGCTCATTTCAAGAGATCTCTCTTCATACTCTGACTTCAATAATGGGGTGGGGGGTGCAAAGGGAGGTAATCAGTCACAAAAGGGAATCCCGACTCAAGATCCCTGGCCAAGCCCTTCCAAACAGATCAACACAGCAAAATACCATTTACACCAAAGACCCTACCAATAGCACTCACCAAAAATGACATAAGTTTTGTGTCGAGGAGCTTGGAGCTCTAAATAAACACACGCAGATGGCAGTGAGCCATTTTATCCAGTCTGAGCAAAAAAATAAACTTGCTGCTCTCTAGTTATAAGAATTTTTCACAGGAAAGTAACTCTATAGGATTATGATTTCTGCCCTAGGGTTCATATTATAATTTGTGACTTGTTTTAAGTCTTACTGCATAAGGAAGTTATGATTTTTGTCATTTAAATAAAGAACCTAAGAAGTCTGCTGCACTCATATGAATTATATATTTGTATAATCTTATAGCCAACATTTTCATACAGAAGCATTAACTTCAATAGGAAAAAGGCACCAGTTAAATTAATTTACAGAGATTATTCTGACACAGAAAATAAGACTCATACTGATGGACGATGGCTATAAAGAAGAGAAAAGCAATAAAATATTAGGAATCAAAGAAAGTGGGAAATTAAAGAGTATCAGTGCCGTGGAAAGACCACTGGACTGAGACTAGGAAAATACAGATCTCAGTTACGGCTTTGATTCTTACTCATCAAGTGCTCTTGGGTACCTACCACTTCAGTTTCCAGATTTGTAAAAGCTACCTGACTGCCATAATCCCTTCTTGTCCTAAAATTAAATATAATTATATACTTTTAAATAGTATTTCTATGTCACATACAATGTTTTTCCACTTTAATTGATATAAAATTATAAGCTCCTAGAGCAGTGTCCCACCTGATGGGACAGCTCTAGGTCATAATTATGCACTGAATAGAGTTTAACAATTTCCTGTGACTTAGATCAAAATCCACAGATCACACTTTTTTAAATGAAATTAATATTTACTATGTTAACACTCATCATTTGGCAAGCATTTCAGCAGGAAAAAAAAATCATCCTTGGTCACAATACTGATGAAATGTTACTTTGCAGGTTTTTAAAAATATCACCTCCTCCCCTCTTTCTGGATATCTATGATTAGTTGATAATCTCTCTCACCACTGGATGTCACTTTTGTTCCAAAGGAAGTCAACCCAAACTAACCTCAATAATTAAAATCTAATCTCTAAGATATTTATCCCTAAAATCGCAACATAAAAGTTTCTCTGGGAAAGATAAAAATCAGCTCTTATTTTTAGTGATTTCTTGCTGAAATGTGGCTTTAGATGCTTTTAGACTTCAAATACAGTACAAAGAAGCATAAAAAGGAGTTCTAAGTCAAAAACATTCACTGCAATCACATCACTATCCATACACTGTTTAGTACTTACATGGACAGGAAGGAAGAGATGTGACACATATAGGGAATAAAACAAATGAGTCTTTATATCTAGGCATAAATATACTGGGATTCCCATGTAACAAATGCTGTTTTTCTAATCTCAGCATTATACTACTTTTAGTATTCTGAGACAAGTAATATTCAGAAATCAAGACAGTAAGGAAGTAATGACTTTCAGACTACTCATGTGGTCACTGCAACTGTCCCCACATTTGCATTTACATCCAGTAACATAAAAAAGTGGCGAGCCACTGTGCTCTTAGTTTCCAAATTAGAAGATGTGAACAATCTAGAGTTATTTTCCAATAAACATACAAATATTAAGATATTAGTGCCTAGACCTATAAGCTCCTCTTCATATCTAACGTCATTACTAAGGGAATTTATCAAGTGGAGACATATCAAGTCATTTGTGGGCCTAATATGCATGCACGCGCACACACACGCACACACATGCACGTGTGTACCTACTACATATGCACACACACACACACATACACACATACACACATGCACATGCACACACACAACACCATGTCCCCTCCCCACCCTCCAATCTTGTTGAACTGCTTAATCACTTCCGTAGTGAGTCACAGTTACTGATGGAACCTGCTACAGTCCTTGGGTTTGTTTTGAAGAAACAGAAAAAAAAGTTGTAAGCCACTGACTTAGATGAACCACCTAGCTGGCTACATTATTTTCATGATATCCTGGACTGTTTCTAAGAAAACAAAGTTTTTAGGTTCTGAAGAAAAGTATGCCTGCAAAGGTAAAACTTTAACAGGATCAAGGTTGTGGGAACTCTCAAGGCTGTTTCAGAAGCAGGAGCAAGGAGATACTTGCTCCCATAGTTCTGAGTTTGAAACAAAAATGCCTTATAACCGGAAAAGCTATATAATAGATATTAAATATTTATAGTTGAAATAGGCCTAATAACACAGAGGTTAACTAGGTAATAAGTTCAATAAGATTTCTATGAGTTAGCCTAAAAATTTTATCACTTTGAAAAACACCATTTCACTAAACATGAAAAATACAAATCTAAACAAATTACTTATATACAAAATTTAGAAACAAACCAGTTTGGATTTCCCAATTTATCTCTATATGGTTGACAGCAAAATTTTCTATTTAAATATCAGTTTTAAAAATCTCTATTTCAAGTCTACATTTTATTCTTCTAAAATAGTTAATTATGTTTGTACCTACAGAAATCATTTTAATAACAATCACTTGCCTTTTTCTGGGCAATGGCAGCTCGCTGGAGTTTCTCTTTGGCTTGATTGTACTTTTCTTCTCTCTCTGCGATACGCTCATGAAGCTTATGCTTTTCTTCCAACCACTGTATCTGTCTCTCTTCCAAGGTCCTGTAAGAAGAATGCATGCAAAGCAAGGAAGTCAACCTTAGGATTAAACATATCATCTATCACAAGTATAAGCAAACTCACTACCTGACTCCATCTTTAATTATCCAACTGCATCATCTCACTAAGCACCTCCTATGAACCTGGCACTAAGTCTAGAACAGTGTATACTACATCACTGTTCTTCACAAAAACCTTCTCAGTTAGGGACTTCTTTATACTTCTGTCTTGTTAATATATGAGGACACTGAGACTTAGAGCAGTTAGTTAACTTGCTTAAGGACTCACATCTAGTTAATGGCGGGACAAACACTTGATAACCAGATCAGTTCAACCAGATCTGAACTATGGTAACCACAAAGCTATCAAAATGTTGCCTAATAAACTTAGTTAAAGACCAAGTCTAGCACCACTTAATGTATTATGTTTTCTGGCTAGAGTAAAATTCATTTAAATGGTATTTTACAATAATATTATAACAACTTATGTTTTAAAAGCTAGTCTACATTTTTTATATGATTTTTTGTAATCTGTAGATAGTACAAATGAGAATAACAAACCCTGAGAAGTTAGGTTACTTGCATAAGGTCACACAGATTTTAGATAGTTGGGACTAAAACAAATAATACTGACCCCTAGACTGCCTATTTTCTTCTAAACAATCCTATGAATAATATTCAAAAACCAGGCGGTGCCTGTGGCTCAAGGAGTAGGGCGCTGGCCCCATATGCCGGAGGTGGTGGGTTCAAACCCAGCCTCGGCCAAAAACTGCAAAAAAAAAAAAGAAAGAAAAAAAATATTCAAAAACCAATGATGAATTATTTAAATTTGCTAGCTCCAGTGTCATTAGAATTCTTGAGTTCATTTTAATACTCGCCAGGGTGACAGAGAGAGAGACTTTCTCTAAACAATATATATGTATGAAATAACAGAAGCACAAAAGAAAAAATGTTTCATGTGGTATGGTAGCCTTCAGAAGAAGAAATTTGAAAAGAATATTTTATAAATTAAAATAAAAATATATTATAAAGACAAAGCAAATATAAAATAGTATAATATTCTACCACGTTATAAAGACAAAGCAAATACAATTAGTACAATGTCCTACCACACTTAAACACATTTTTGCAGAGAATATGAGATCTCTGAACATCACTAAAACATTTTTTCCTACCAGCTTACTGCACTGTCAAATGCTAACAAGTTTCCAGACTAAAAAAGAAAAAAAAAAAGGATAAATTCATTTTTCAAAGGGAAAATTCAAGAGTCTAGTTCTAATAGTAGGAAGTGTTACACATCAAAAGCAAAACCAAAACTAAATAAAACAAAAACCATTCTGTTCTATGACATTCAGAAAAACTGTATAGATTTTTGAAGTAAGAAATGTTTTAGTTTACTCAATGAATAAAAATTTTTTTCTTTGAGAGTTTTCAGAATACTATGATCAGACAGATTTTTTTTTTTTTTTTGAGACAAGGTTTCACTCTGTTGCCCAGAGTAGAGTGCAGTGGTGTCATCTCAGCTCACTGTAACCTTAAACTCCTGGGCTCAAGCAATCCTCCCGCCTCAGCCTCCTGAGTAGCTGAGACTAAAGACATGTGCTACCACATGTGTATAATTTTTATATTTTGTAGAGAGGTGATCTTGCTGTGCTGGCTGGTCTTGGTCTTGTGGCTGGCTGGTCTTGGTCTTGTGTTATTGGCCTCAAGGGATCCTCGTGCCCCTGCCTTCTTAAAGTATTAGGATTATAGGCATGAGCCATTAAGGCTGTCTCAAGCAGAGTTTTAACACTGTATTTCTTAACTCTGATTTTTTTAATAATTCAAGAGTTCATAAAGTCCATTCTATATAAATGAAAAGTACATTATCTAAGATCATTGTATACTATCAAAGACTATTTGTAACTAGTTCCTAAAACAAATTTAACATTAGAATTACCACTAAAATTATGTATCATACAGAAAAAAGAAAAAAAAATTGTACATAAAAAAGCAAACTCTACTTTTCAACTTCTAGTTGCGCTTTTTCAGTTTGGCTTCTTAAATTTCGGCATTCTTGTTTTAACCTTTCCACCATTTCCTTCAGCATTTGGTTTGAATTCAGCAAGTCATTCTCTGACTGTGAAAGTGAGGTCACTTGGATCTGCAAATGACTGATTTGCTTAAAAGAGAAGAGAAAAACGTAAGGCCACTGACCAAATGCAGTAAGTCATGAGAAACACAGAAGATGCTAGGCAGCTCGCTTGCCAATGCCCCCTTGAGCTGGTGAGCCCTGGTGATGGCCCTAAATGAAACAATAAGTAGCAGCAGCTAAGGTCATTTCTTATTACAACCAGAGACCAGCAAGAACTACGTCCCCCAGTCACTGAGTCCCCCCTCGAAATGTGGGCCACAAAAGGTGTTGTGAGTGGAAGGAGGGTTCTCAGGAGAAAAGCAGGGAGATGAGAAAGCAGAACCCAATGATTCAGTTCCCTTTTACTCTAGCCTTTCCTTAGCCTCCGGAGGTGGCGGGGTGGGGAGTGGGGCTGGGGGGGGGGAGATTTTAAAAGCAGATCAGCTGAGAAAGCAACTAAAAACATCTGTTCTCCCATTCCCACATACCCTGAGAGCAGCAAGCTTTCAGGAGCTCTGCTCTCTGAGCAGTCAAAATTATTCACTGTAAATATGGAAAGGATCACTCTCATATTGTGTTTAAAAGGTTTCTAAGAATTTGATATGTCCAGTGCTAGGCAGAAGAAAGATGCTCCAAGAAATCTAATCAATGCTAGGGATTCCTTAGCTTCCAGAGCCATTTATCAAACCATGTAATGTTACTCAAGGCTTTTTCTCCATCCCAATTTCCCTCTGTCTGAGAGTACCCTTCCTCATGAAAAGTAGGTAATTAACTAGTTACAGATTAACAGGCTAGAAAGATTTACACTGCTTCTACATTTTATGCAAATAATCTTCATTTGGGACAATTATATCTACTTCCCCCACAAATCATTTTACCAATTAATAAACAGTGAAAGTCCTCATTTTTCTTTCACTTCATTTTACCTCTCTCATAGCCATTCTCTGAGAGAGATTTTGGAGCAAAGATGGTTAAGCAATAGGGATCAAAAGACCCATTATGAGATTCAAGGATAAAAAGAAACAAAGTTCTTATATAATAAATTAATGGGAAAGAATCCTACTGCTTCCTGATAGTAGCAAAGCCAAATTATGACAGGACTCTGAAAGTCCACAGTGTAAATGTTAGCAGAATAAAGTAAAATGGTATGTGTCAGATTTCTATTTTAGAATAAATTTCCCCATGTAAAACTATTCACGATTTTTACTTGGAATGGCAAATATTAAATCTGTATTATAGCTGCCTGAACAAGCAGCCTTCAAAGAGCTTAATACCTCTCCATACCCACAGAATGAAAGAAAGCCCAATGCCAATGATACTAGATAACTTCTCTCCAGGAATCAAACATTATGCCCATCTAGTTAAGACTCAGAAACCATAACTGCATAGGCAAAACGGTACCAGCTAACATGCAAGTATCAACTCTAAAAATGGAAGTCTTACCATTTCATTATTTATAGAAGAAAAAAAACCCAAGAAAACGGAATTCAGAAAAGAACACTCTTCTATGTTTTGCCCAATCTTATAAAACTCTTTCTTGAATCCAAATAACTTTACTTAAAATACAAGTTTCCTTCCATAAATACAACTCTTAGATTTCGTAAGGATGTGGCAAGGAATACCTCATGGAATAAACATAAAACTACAAATCAATCACACATGTAACTTAAAACCTGGATAATCTTTCTAGTCAATTTTATAAATTTAGAATACCAAAATACTGTAGTTTTAACTGCAATTTAAAAAAAATTCATCAAGAGCCACACCATATACAGATCTTAAGAATAAAAGCAGCAGAAGCAGCTTACTAAATTAAAACATAGAGGTTTAAACATTTTATCTTTATATATCAACCTCACCAATATGTTATTAATTGTAGTAATTAGATTCTCTAAATATTAATGGCAAAATTAAAAAACGCAAAACACAGATTTAAAGAAGCATTTTAAAAAATAACAAAATGTTTGCTAAAATCATACCTGTTTCAGGTCAGCATTTTCATTTTTTTCTTTCTCTGCATTTTCAATAATCGCAATTTGCTGTTGAAGTTTTAACCTAAAAATCACAATCCAAAAGACAGAAGACATTATTAGGAATCCACTGGTCATTTATTTCACTGAATTAGACTTTTTGCCGAGTGCTTGTCTGACACCAAGCACAACAAAGAGGGAGGATAAGAAATCAAGTCTGGGAGGGCAGAGAATGTTACAAGGATGAAACCTGAGAAACAGAACTTTGATGAACAAGCAGCCGTTGGTGAAAAAAGCAGAGAATGTGTTGCTGAGATATCAGAAAGTAATCCAGCTTTAGGAGAAACCAACTTACATCCATGCAGTATCTTACAAGTTAGAAAATGTTTTCAGTCACACTGCTACTTCACTTTTATTCTATGAGGATTCACATTTAAAAAGAAAACTAATCCAGAATACCATCCTGTATTCTCTATAATATCTTATGAGCTTTTCATCCCTAAGATGAATGAACCCTACACGATTTATATCTTCTTCAAAGGGAATGATACATCTTTAGCCTTAAAAGGTAGAGCAGCTCTGGTGACCAAATGACTAGTCTCGTGAGGAAGATGTTATACTAATTAGATCTGGCAGGACAGGCCATTCGACCTCCCCCGCCCCTTAAATTCTTCAAACACTTATTTCAAATATAATTCACTTGGCACTTGTTATTTATAGCTTGGCATTACTAGCATGGCTTATCTGGCCAAATAGGACGTGTTTCCTGGATACTCTCAAGAGGCTAGGGCTGTGCTTTAAGTATGATAACAATTCAATAAATATTGAATGGACTGAATGAACCTAAATCATGCATAAGATGTTTAAATGTATAAGATAATTGGACAATATATCATGGAAGAAACGTAAAGATATAACCCACTGCACTCTGAGATGTTTACATACAGATGTCAGAAATAATGGATATAAAGATGTCCAGACCTCCTTTCCCCTTGTTCCTTTGCCAGTCATACTCTTATTTCATTATTCTAGCTATAATTCTAGCCCTCTCAAATTTTCTGTGTACATCCTTCATTAAATGTGTATAGATGTTACCAATGTGGTGCTTTCAGGTTAATAAAGGTTTCTTTCCACAAAATCACTAAGATGAACGTAGAGAAGGGAACACTGGAGGTCCTAGCTCAGGTCCGGAGTTAGAAACCCTAGGCTCCAAGTATACACCAGTTCAGGTTAAGAAGAAACAAGATTCAGTTAGAAAAAGCCTCACAGCCTGAATGCCTTCTCTATCAGTTACACAGATACAGAGAAAAACAACAGCACCCTACATACAAAAGCTGAACCCAAAGAAACCAATGGTAGAAAGTATTAGAAAATCACCAAAATATGAAAGGATAGGAAAACTCAAATAAAACACAACGGGAATAAGAACACCATTAGCGTAGACCAAAGGAGACACTTTCTTCAGTTCACTTTGCTGATGCAGTATTAGGTTAGAATCTAAAACCAGTATTTTTCTTTTCTCTCTCTCTTTTTTTAAAGACAGAGTCTCGTTATGTCACCCTCAGTAAAGTGCCATAGCGTCACTGCTCATAGCAACCTCCAACTCTTGGGCTTAAGCAATTCTCTTGCCTCAGCCTCCCACGTAGCTGGGACTACAGGCACCTACCACAACACCCGGCTATTTTTTTTTTTTTTTGTAGTTGTCATTGCTGTTTAGCAGGCGCAGGCCAGGTTTGAACCTGCCAGCCCCGGTGTATGTGGCCGGCTCCTTAACCACTGAGTATGTGTGTCAAGCCTAAAACTAGTATTTTTCATTAGGAGAAAATTAGTCTATGATTTAACATCATTGCATTAAGGGTCTCGCTGCTGCCCAAGCTGAAGTGCAATGGCACCATCAAAGCCCACTGTAGCTTCCAGCTCCTGGGTTCAAGTGATCCTTCCTGCTCAGCCTTCTATGTAGCTGAGACTACAGATGAGTGCCACCACCATGCCTGGCTAAATTTCTGTACTTTTTATTATGAGATAAAGTCTCACTATGTTGCACAGACTGATCTCAACTCCTGGCCTCAAGTGATCCTCCCACCTCAGGCTCCCAAAATGCTGGGACTGCAGACATGTTTGGAATTGCAGCTGTGAGCCACCGAGCCAGGCTGAGAGACACAATCTGAACTGGACCCAGAAGGGAAAGATGTAGCTGAAGAAGAGATAAATCATGAAACAAGACCTTAGAAGAAACAAAGGAGATGGGATTAAGGCCACTGTTCACGCTGGAGTTAAAGGCACAAATGATATTTTCACTAAAATAGGAAATGATAGAGAACAGAAATTCTAAACTGCAAAGAAATTGAAAAATTCATAGCTAGTAACTTTTACTCGTGTATGAGTGAAAACACAGCTAAGTAATAGACTGATAGTTTCCAAGCTGAAAAAGAAGCAAAGGAGCCAAGTTAATAGATTGGAAGAAAAAGAGAAGTACAGGCACCACTACTTTTAATATCTTCAGTGATCTTAGATCGAATAAGAAAAAGAAATTTATGTCTTTGACGTGATCAGTTCTAAGAGGTGACAAGGTCCCAGATGCAGCTGTGAGTATGGGATGCTAAAGTAGAATAGAGATGAAGGCACAATAAACGATAAGGCCAAGGTGTTAAACAGACAGTGCGGGTGGTATATGGTTAATAGGAATGACGGCTAGGGGCAGAAGCTAGAAAAAAGTTGAGCCAAATATCAAAGTCTTCAGTGACTGCTGAGAAGTATCTTATAGGTCAGTAACTGAAAGAAGGAAAAGGCAGCTACAAACTGGAAACAACAAATGTCAAAGGAAAAAATTATTTTAGTCAAAGGTCTGAGAAAAGGGAGGTTTGCAAATACTGATTTCCCTTCTTGGTCCCTTGTTGCAGGAGGGAAGAAGAATTTTCACTTAAAATACTGCCAGGTTACATGCCACCAGGAGAAAGTTTCAGCGAGGGGGTGGTCAAAAAAAAAAAAAAACAACCTGGCACAAGTAGCTCACACCTGTAATTGTAGCGCTCTGGGAGGCCTAGCGGGAGGGCCACTTAAGCCCAGCAGTTCGAGAATAGCCTAAGCAAAAGCAAGAGCCCATCTCTACTAAAAATAGAAAAAGTAGCGGGGCATTGAGGCAGGTGCCTGTAAGTTCCAGCTACTTGGGAGGCTGAGGCAAGAGGACTGCTTGAACCCAGGAGTTTAAGGTTGCTAGGGTGACACCACGACCCTAGCCTGTGCAACAGAGTGAGACTCTATCTCAAAAGAATAAACATTGAGATGGCAAAAAATTTATTGGTAATAAAACAGGGATTCTAGAAGCTATGGTGGAAACTATAAACAAGAGAGCTTTGATAACTAGGTGGTAGGGAGAAATCAGAGGATGAAGGATAAGTAAATTGGGGATAAGAAACTATAAAACCGGCTCAGCGTCTGTGGCTCAACTGGCTAAGGCGCCAGTCACATACACCTAAGGTGGCGAGTTCGAATCCAGCCCGGGCCCGCCAAACAACAATGATGGCTGCAACCAAAAAATAGCCAGGTGTTGTAGTGGGCACCTGTGGTCCCAGCTACTTGGGAGGCAGAGGCAGGAGACTCGCTTGAGCCCAGGAGTTTGGAGGTTGCTGTGAGCTGTAATGCCACAGCACTCTACCCAGGGGGACAGCTTGAGCCTCTATCTCAAAAAAAAAAAAAAAAAGAAAAGAAAAGAAACTATAAAACCAAGTAGTTTATACTTTGAAAGTATTATGGAAGTAAACGTAGGCAAACTGGAGGACCAAACATTCAAATGGAAACTTTGTAATAATATTAAGATGGAGCTGTGTCAAATTCTCTTAAAAGTATAGGTAGCCAACTATGATGAAAGCCTGATAGAGCTTTCTTTGACAATGGAAATATTCTATAATCCATGTCCTCTAATATGATAGCCACTGGCTATAGGTTGCTGTTGCACATTTGAATCATGACTAGTGCATCTGAGGAACTAAATTTTTAATTTTTAAAATTTAATATGGATTTAAATAGCTGTGTGTGACTAATAATACTGTATTAGCAGCAAAGGCTCTGATGTGACCTCTTAGCTTCAGTTAACGTTAGTCTCTATTATCAAGGGGATGCAACACATAGGGCAAAGCAATACAAATTATATTTGTGGTTTCTCTATAGTCAAAAGATTCATAAAACAAGTTTCTTGATGATGACAGTGGATTTCTTATAAGCATCAGAAATTGACTCTGGCCATTATTAGCAAAAAGGGACTTTCCTGGAAGAATCTAAGAGTCTACTAGATCAAAAGACATCTAGAGAACCAAAACCAGGATACAGTAATAGACAGGAACGACAGGCAAAGACATGCCACAAGAACTGCCTTCAAGTGGTCCTTCAAATGCTGCCACATACACTTCCACCCTCTACATCTTAGTTCAAATTGTGGGAGAGAACATATCTAATTGGCCAAGATAATTCTTCTCAAGATGGCTATTAATAGAAAGACAGACATATTAAATGGTAATTTTTTTAAAAAGCAAATATCCACTATAGGTAGCCAAACATTTAGACTGATGATATCAAAATGTTTATAAGAACCTTAAGAAAAAATCAGAAAGCCCCAAATGGAAAATAGAGCTCTGACTTTAAGCTATACAAAAGATAAATGCACTGCAGGATATCTTAAATGATCAAGTTCCTTTTCCCTCAGTTACACATCCTCTCACTGTTGATATCAAACAGTGTGTCACTCACTGTTTTCCCCCACACTCACTCCACACAGAGAAACAGGCGTACATCCTAGGCTGACCTAGACTGCCTGATCCCCAAGGCCACAGTGGCAGGCCAAGGGATGGGCATGCAAACGAGACCCAAACCTTTCTCTAGATTTTTCTAACATGAGTTGTCAAGTAAAAATTCTGTTTTCTCTGGTCTCAACGTATGCTCATGGCCTCAAAGTGAAAGTGGGAGGAAAGAAGGAGACACATGAGAAAGGAGAAGGAAGGAAGAGGGAGAGAAAAGGGGGAAGATGCCTCTCCCACCTGATCACATTTGCATTCCTAGAGCAGGGTGCCCCTGAGACTAGCATAACTCCTG